CAGTTCAAGTCCCAGACTGGATAGTTTGCCTTATCGCTTTCTCTCTCTCTGTCTCTGTCTTTCTCTGGTGAGCACATATGCCCTATAGCAAATTTAAAAATAATAATTAATAAACTGAATTAAATAAATAATTCTTTAAAAATAAAACTACAACTGGGAAGGGTGGTGTGATACTTAAGGCATTTAGATTCCACATGGCTCAAGTCCTGGACACAGTGGCTTAAAAATCATGCTAGGCATGACTCCCCATTCTCATCCCTCTCTGTCTCTCTCTGGCCAACATCCGCACCTATAGTGAAACTAAAGAAAAAAAAAAAAAAAAACGACACTACCTCCACATGGATCTCAAGGAAGTAGTGAATATTTGTCAAAATTTCATGTTTTAGTTCTCTATTTGCTTCATAACAAATTACCCCAAAACGTAATCGCTTCAAACTATTCTCCCATTGCTCCTGACTCTGTGGATCAGGAATATGGGTAAAGCTCACTGAGGATGGCTCATTTCTGTTCCCTGTGGTGGTGGCTAAAAAGGCTTGAGTAGCGCTCATTAATCCAAGATGGACTGACATGTCGTGGTGCCTCTGTTCTCCTTCGTGTAGCCTTTTTCATATCCATGTTGTTTCTTATCATTCAGAAGCCGAACCCATCTTTCTTGACTTAATGGTTAGCTTCCATGACGGAGTGAATACAAGTTACAAAGACTAGGTCAGAAGTCATACAGCATCACATTGAATGCATCTTTTCAGTCAAAGCAAGTAACTGGCCAGCCCAGATTTAAGGAGAAAGGAAAAAGTCTTTACTACTTGATAAATAGAATGGCAAAGTCACATTGCAAAAGAATATGCAGGACAGGAAATACTGTTGCGGCTGTATTTGGAAATGATCTGTCCTATTTCTCTTTACTAGCTCAGTCTTTTCTTCCCCGTGGCATCATCATATCACCTAGGCTTATTAGACATTGCTCAGTTATAATGTCTCATAACTTACTGAGCTATTGGGAAAAGCATGATGCATTCTTGTATAGAAAAACACATCACAACTTTTCTGAACACCGAATACTATGAATGTCCCCACGGTCCAAGAAAAAATAGCAAGAACTACATATTCCTTAGGAAAGCCCCTATTCCTCTTTACAGATTCACTTTAGTCCTCTCAGAAGGTAGCTTTTTTCTTCAAACCTCCTCGGTGCAATATCCTCACTCTCTCAACATGAGTCAGTTTCACTCTAAGATCTACTCCCCTCCTATAATGCAAGTCTTAGGGTGCAAAACCAAACACAATCTTAGTTGCTCTCTGTAGAACGCCACATAGGCACATGGCTATTGTCAGGTCCCTTAAAACAGTCTAGACTGGACTTCTAGAACTGTAAGTTTCCCCTTGCCATAAGCAGTTAGTCATCTGCAACCTGGAAATGAACATGTTAGGAATTCTGGCTATTTTCTTACCTCCTCTTCAATAGTTACTGTGGCTGGTTAAGTGCTGAAGAGACACAAGTGTCACTTCAACTATTTTTACACACAAATATACTTAGAATTTTTCCCTAGATGATCCATGGTTGAAATATGGGGTCTTATTATTTATTCTACTTTAAACGACACAAGATATCACATATTGGGTGTCAGTCATGACACATTTTTGCATAAAAAACCATGACATGACTTTGCCGACAACTTAATATTTCTTTTTTTCTTTTTTTTGGAGAGGTTTTTGCTATAGGGCAGGTACACTCGCCAGAAAGACAGACAGAGACACAGAAAAAAAGCAAGAAATCCCCCCCCAGAGGGTATGGTCACATCACAATCCCTTCTCCTACATTCTCCTCTCAGGATCTTGGGCACACACCCACACGCGCCTGGCGTGAGTTTAAGCCACCGGTTCCGGGACTTGAACTGTGGTCGGCTACATGGGAGTCCAGCGACATAGCCATTACAACCACTGCTGGTCCCAGAGAACCTAATATTTCAAGTTAGAATGGAATACTTGAAAAAATATACTAATAATCTCTTGTTAGGGGCCAAATTATGCCAGGCACGTGAGTATGTGTGCCCAACGTCCAAAGAGAGGAAGGGATTGTGATGTGGCCATCCCCTTTTCGGGGGGTGATTCCTCACTATCCTTCTCTCTGTATCTCTCCTCTCTGACAAGCTCACATACCCTCTGACAAAACAAAACCAAAAAAACCTTAATAAAAATTAATAATCATCTTTCGTTGAACTGCGTATGAATTATCTCTGTTTTATGGTCTAAAAAAGTCAACCTAAAGTGATTAGCTTTCTTGTAACTTTGAACCATTTGCTTTCTAAGGTAGATCAGTGACAAATTCTTACCAGTTTTCAAGTTTCTATTGTGAGGGCTTCTCTCCAGGTGGCTGCTGGATAATGCTAAACTTCTGTGGTAACTAGAAAATAGTGAATCCTCTGGGCTTCTGTAGTCTCATTCTAGGACTCCAGGCACAGTGGGCTGGAATTCAGTCCCCAGTCATCTCTTTAGCTGGACATCCAAACATCTAATCTTTTAAGTTGACTTATATCATTTCCAGTTAACCATATGTTAGAACTACCATAATTCAGGGATCTAAAAAGATCAGAAGTTCTGTAAGAGCTGTTTTTTGGGTAATATTTTTGCATTCATCTGAAGAAAATGACTTTTCCAAAATTATCAAAAGCAATGTCAGTTATAAGATTTTGAAAATACTCAGGCCTTTTTTTTTTTTTTTTTTTTTTAGCTTGTGATAGGGCCTGTTACTTGGGTTTGGCAGGTGGTATGGTGGTTGGTGCCCTGGATTTCTACAAGAGCGACCATGGTTTGAATCCTGGACCTGGTGGCTAGCTTTCTCACTTTATCTCTCACTCTATCTCTCTCTCTGATCAAATTAAAAAATAATACAAATAAATATGGCGTTCTCAGCTAGGAAAAATGGGCAATTATGCCTCCCCCCCCCTGCCCCCAGGATTGCCATGCCATAATCCCCTCTCTTCCATTCTCCTTTCAGGATGTTGTGCACACACGCACACATCCAATGTGATTTTCAAGTCACCCATCTGGGACTCAAACCATATAGTCGACCATCATCCAGACACCCTAACCTCCATGCCGCTTGCCGGCCCCAGATGTTTTTTAGTCTCAATTGCAACATGAAATACACTACAATCCTTAGTGAATCCTTTGGTTACCTAGGGGCAACTTTATACCCTGAATCATAAAGCTCACTCCTCTGTCCCATTCTGTACTTATAGGCTGGGCCCTTCCTTCACTTGAAGGATTAATTATATTTCTGGAAATCTTTTTCCAGGTATCTTGAAAGATACATCTTCACTTTGCTGGGAACCCTAATTTCTTATTAAGTAGTTATTAAACCCCTCCACCCCACCACCAGTCCTATTTTACAAAGAAAGAAAATGACCAGGAGGAGTGCCCCTCTCCTGAAGAGAAGCAGCAACTGATATAAGGCCACATGTCACAGGTGTCAACGTAAAAAAGAAAAAACAAAAACAAAAACAAAAAAAGCCACTGGCCCAATTTGGAAGAGATAGGAAAAAAGTTGGTGCCAGAGTGGTATATTCAATATTTTCAAAAAAAAAAAGACTCAACCAGCGCAGGTAGATGAAAAGATGGAAGGGGGACCAGCAGTTAGTGTAATGGCTATGTCGCTGGACTCCCATGTAGTCGACCGCGGTTCACGTCCCGGACCCCGCGGCTTTAACTCATGCTGGGCGTGTATGCTTGCGTGCCCAAGATCCCGAGAGGAGGATGGAGGAGAAGGGATTGCAGCGTGGCTGGGTGATTTCTCGCTTTCTAGCTCTCTGTCACTCTCTGGCTTTCTGGCGAGCGCATGCGCCCTATAGCAAAAACCTCTCCAAAAAAAAGCGCCCCATGCCCCTTAAAGCAAAAACCCCCCCAAAAAAAAAAAAAAAAAGAAAAGAAAAGAAAAAGAAGAAAAGATGGAAGGGGGAGCCTAAGCCAAAAAGTGCCAACAGCCTCTGAAAGTTGAAAGACTAAGAACGAGGATTCTTCCAACAGCTTCTAAAAAGGGAGACTCTTGACACTTTGCTTTTAGTCCAGTGAAGCTTCATGGACCTGCAGAATTGTAAAATGATAAATCTGAGTGTTTCTTTTGCCATAGGTGTGCTCAGCAGAGACAATGAGAGGGAAAGTAAGAAACCATCCCCCAGAAGGGATGGCGAGTCCAATCCCTTTTCCTCCATTCTCCTTCTGTGATTTTGGGCACCCACGCACATACGCACATGTACGCACATGATTTTCAACCTACTGGATTTGGGACTCCCAACAGCCAGGGGCCACGTGAGAGTCCAGCTGCTTTAACTACCACACCACCTCTGGTCCCAAATTCCGCACCCCCCCCCCCGCCACGCGTCTTGTGTAGACTCCCCCCCCCCCTCTGGTCCCAAATTCCGCCCCCCCCCCGTTTTTTTTTAACAGGTTTTTGCCTTAGGGCCCGAGCACTCCCAGATAGAGAGACAGAGACAGGGAGAGACTGAGAAGGAGGATGGCCAAGCCACAATCCCTTTTCCTACCAGGATCTTGGACATGCGCGCACATCTGCCCCGCTGAGTGTCAAAACACCTAGTCTGGGACACAAACCACGTCCCCATGTGGGAGTCAAGGAACGTAACCTCTACACCATCTGCTGCCCCAAATCTCGGTTGCTTTAAGACACTAAATGTATGGTAACTATGTCATCAACAGAAACTAATACAAAATGCCATCTGGATCAAATATATATTTAAATGAACTAGGAGGAAGAAAGGAAGGGAGGAAGGCAAAGGCCAACTATCGTCTGGTCAGTTCAGATCAAAGGCAAAACGACCCGTTTGGTCCTCTCTGCCAAGGATATTCTTCAATTTCCGCTTTTGGTCTCCCCTTTACGCCCATCTCCCCGCCCGCCCACCGTCATGGCTTTGGTTGTACTTCAGGCTGGTTACCAATAAAGTTATTACAAAGTGACCTTGAGCGTCTTCCCTAGTGCACCCGATACCCCGCCTTCTCCATCCGGGTGCTGCGGCGCGGATAAGAGCCGGACCGCGCCTGCGCGCCCAGCCCCACTCCTTCGACCTCTGCCGCCGTAGCTGCCGCCGCCACCTCCCGAGAAGGTAAGCGGAGGGCGCGGGAGCCAGCCCGGCCGGGGCGGAGCAGAGCCCAAGAAAGGCCCATTCATTCTGCTAGGGCTTCGCTGGGCACAGGGCCTGACGTGGCGTTGTGCATGGGAGCCCGAGGGACCTGGGTGGGAAGGGCAGGCCCCTGGAGGGCACTTGACCTTAAGCCTCTTTGCCTTCGCAGAGAGGAAGCGGGAGAGGAGCCCACGACGCTTGTCATCCGAGTCCTCCAGCCGCGCCGCCCCGAAGTGTGTAAGATGTTCGCCTGCGCCAAGCTCGCCTGCTCCCCCGCTCTGGTGCGTAGCCCACGCTGGGCAAGGGGCTGAGGGCCCGGCCTCGGCCTCAAGCGTCCACGTTGTTGAATGGGGCAACCTGCTGGCGGGACACAGCGCTCCCTAGGGAGCTGTTCACCAGGCACCTTAACCAGATGCCCTTTTCTTCTTCCTAATCCTGCTGCAGCTCAGACCCTTCCTCCACTCAGCCAGGGCAGTGGAGAGCAGCCGAGGCCTAGCAGTCAGGCCCCACTCGGCGTAGGTCAAACCCTCCTTGCTGCTAATCCCAGGTCCGTCCCCTCCCCGACCTCCTCGGTCTCTCTGTTGAGTTGGGGTCCACCCCAAGGTTTGAGTACTGCAGTGGTGATAGGGGGCCGCTGAGGCCTAGTTCACTGCTGCAGCGCACTCCAGTGCCTCTCTGTAGGTCAAACTCGCTGCAGCAAAGGGAGGAGGGACTTTGCCTCACCATGTGTGGGCGGAGGAAGGTGGTGGGGGAGCCCAAAGTCCTGCCTCTGAGACATTATTTCCATAACCATTTTGGACGCTTTAGGTAAATTCTAAATCTGGAGAATTTGTCTTCAGAATTCAGGTCTTGATTCTGGAGGGATTTTCTGTGACCTTAGTGTAATGGACACTCAAGGGCAGAGAAGCTGGCCTGGAAAATGTCTTTATGGTTGGAGTATTTCCCAGTTACTCTTGAACTAATGTAGAATTGCTTTCACTTTTTTTAAATTTCATGATTAATGGGCCTGTAGGAATATTGGAAATGGTGGGTTCTCATATTTATTGCTGGACCCTTTCATATTTTAAATGACAAACTTTATAGTGACCCTCTTAATGTATCTATGGTCTGCTTCAACTTATCAAAGAATGTGGGATGTTTATTGCTGTTCTTCTGGTCTGAATTGTGGCACTACAGTAATTGAAATGTTAAAAACAATACTCTTTTTAACTAATTGTTCTTATAATTAACACATGGTACAAGAAAGGTCACTGTATTTTTACTTAATATTTTGATTTTTCTTTCAATTAATAGATCCGAGCTGGATCCAGAGTTGTGTACAGACCAATTTCTGCATCAGTGTTATCTCGACCTGAGGCAAGGACTGGAGAGGTAATAGTAATGATAGAAATTAGGTAACAGTATAAAGTAAATTTATGGTTTTGATTAGGATGAAATTTTTAAAAAAGAAAAGAAAAAATGGTTTGAGGGCATTCCTTTTCCATTCTTTTATCCAAAAAAGTATGTGTAGAGGATTAGACCAACTTCTGTGTCTAAAACTTACGAGTTGGCAATTAAATATTGTAGTCAGTTATTTATATTTATGTGTAGTTTTGAGTTGCCTGTCTGTAATGTTACAATAGCTAGTTATTTAAAAACCTGCTTCATTGATAAGTATATTCATGTATGCTCTTTCTTAATTTTCAACACTTCACTAGGTGTAGATATTGATATTCCTATATTCTACAAAATCTGAATTGTTCTAAGCTCTTTTTATGTTGTATCTTTTCATACTCTTCAATGAAATAGTAATTTGACAGTATATAGTAATTAAAACAGCTGTGTTTACTGATTTGAACTTTACTTCTATTTCTTGTTCTTTAGGGCTCTACGGTATTTAATGGGGCCCACAATGGTGCCTCTCAGCTAACCCAGAGGGGATTTCAGACCAGTGTAATCAGCAGAGACATTGATACTGCTGCCAAATTTATTGGTGCCGGTGCTGCAACAGTAGGAGTGGCTGGTTCTGGTGCTGGTATTGGAACAGTCTTTGGCAGCCTTATCATTGGTTATGCCAGGTAATCATTTCTATTCTCAAACGAGTTCATTTAAGAGCATGCTAGGAATAGTTGGAAACTTGGAAAAATAGTAAAACTATAATAGCACAATTTGTTAAGTACCTACTCTGTGTCTTGGATCATATTTTCAAGTGCTTTGTATGTATTCTCTCACTTAATCTTTGACAACCCTCGGAGATATACTCTGCTTTTGCTATGAAGAGCCAGAGACACAGGTTACACTATTTGTCCAGTCATAATTAGTGTCAGAAAATGAATCTTAACTCGGTCTGACTTCGGGGGCTTTATTCCTAATCCTTAAGCTATATCTGGAGTATAATTAACAGACCCCATTCTTTAAATACACCAGTTCCAGTTGATTATTTAAAACCTTATTTCTAAACTACTGGATCTTTAAAGGCACGGAACATTTCAGAGGAATTAGATTGTCAGAATCCCTTAGAATAAATGAAAACTAACCATGTATATTAACATGCAGACTTCACCCAACCTGTGTGCCATATTAGTGTTGCAGAAAAAAAGATGTCAAAGGTTAAAGAGATCTGCGCTAATACTGTTCCAGTTAACTTGTACAGAGATCCCACACTAGTGATCTTGATTCTTTAACATTTGCTAGACATGTTAAAACTGATACTTCAAAGTAACAGTCATGTGTATTATGTCTCTTTTAGAAACCCATCGCTGAAGCAGCAACTGTTCTCCTATGCTATCCTGGGATTTGCCTTGTCTGAAGCTATGGGTCTCTTTTGTTTAATGGTTGCTTTCTTGATTTTGTTTGCCATGTAACAGAAATTACTGCTTGAAATATTGGCATACATATTAATTAAGGATGTAATTCTGTGTATTTTACTGTGGCCCCAAAAACTAGTGTTGGTGTCATGGAAATGTACGTTATTTCCAAAGTCATTTCATTAAAGTTAAAAACTTTAATTTTTGCTGTGATCTGTACTTATCTAAATTTAGATTGTCACAAAGAAGAAAGAGCATGCATTCAAGCGGATGCTGTTCAGTTCAGAAGAAGCTACAGTAATTGCCCTGCTGATGAAAACAATCCTACTGTAATTTTTATGGGAATTTTATATAGTGTTCTTCACATTGTAATTTGGAGGGCTTTTGTTTATTCATAAAAGGAGAAAAATGTGAGTGCTTCGAGTGTCTATGAAATATGATAGTTAATTGCTCAGGATGGTTTTTTTTTGTTTTTAAGGGCTAATATGAATTAGAACACATGGAAGCAGAATCACTTTCCAAGATGGACTTGGCTGGTCTTGCACAGCTGGACCTAAAAATAAATCATGCCAGCTTTTTAGGAATTGAAGCTTTAAACTGAAGGGAAATGTGATCTTTTGCTTTTCAGTAAGTCTCATATTCAGCCCTGTGTCTATCTAGAGTTCTAAGAAAGAATACTCAGTCTAACTAGCAGTTAGATAAATAAGAATCTAGCAGCTAGATTCTTATTAAAAACCAAGTATCAAAAAGTAAACTGAGAGCCAGCCAGTGGCATTGTGGTTAAGGCAGTCAGATCTCATGATTTGAGTCCTGGACACTGGCAGCTTAAAAACACTAGGCACGTGTGCATGCATGCCCAAAGTCCCAAGGAGACGAGGAGGGGATTATGGAGTGGCCATCTCCTCCAGTGGGTGCTTTTCTCTCTCTCTCCTTTGTCTGTAGTGAGCAGACATGTCCTATAGCTAAGTAAGTAAATATAAATAAAATAAATTGGCTGCATTTTTAAAGCCAAAAGTTTCTAAAGCAGTGTTTATCACTGCTGCTTATGTGTGTACATTGGGAGTCGTGGGAATGATTTGTTTCAATGGAAAGTTGGTTCTTAGTCAAGCATCCTTTTAGAAGGGAGAAAGTGGTAACTACTATACAAACACTGAGTTTACCCTTAACAAATAAATGTTGCCATTATGTTACCTATCATCTAAGTTTCAGGGTTTATACCCTTTGTCTAATTTGATTTCAACTGAGAAAGAGTATGTACCAGGGTTTAAGTGTTACAAACAGGACTTCATCAGAATCACTTCCAATGCTTATTTAAAATACAAATATCTAAGCTTTAGACTTACTGAATTAGAATCCTTGGCCTTGAGATTTAGGGATCTGCATTTTAAAAAAGGCTTCCAAGAGCCAGCAGGTGGCATGGTAGTTAAGGTGACTGAATTCCTACATGGCCAACTGCAGTTCAAATCCTGGGCCCAAAATTTCAAGGGATTGTGGCATGGCCGTCCCCCTGGGGGGTGATTTCTTACTTTCTCTTGTCTCCTCTCCAGGGAGTATATACATCTGATGGCAAAAACCTTAAAAAGGCTTCCTAGATGATTTCTGTGATAGCGTTTGAGGACCACTAACTTATATTTGTTACCCTCTATAAAATAAAACAGGACAAAAAAAAAAAGCTTAAACTAGAACCACTACCACTTTTTAGTTGATGAATCATCTAAGTCTAAATTATATATGAAATTTCTGGATCCTAAAATGTTTTCTGGACCAGCACTACCTAGTATTCAAACTGAGTGATAAAAATAAAAAGTACGGTTACTGTATGACCAAACAATTGCATGCCTGGATATACATCCAAAATAATTGAAAATAAATATGCAAAAAAACCTACAGGGTTCATAGCACTATTTGTAAAAGCCAAAAATTGGAAACAGTGATGAATGGCAGGACTAGCAGAAGGCATTAACAGTTACATTGCTGGACTCCCACATGGTAAACTGCTTGAGTGCTGGACCTGGAGGCTTGAAACACGCTGGGCATGTGTGTGTGTGTGTGTGCGCACAAAATCCTGAGTAGAGTGGAGGGGGAATTACAGTTTGGTATACCCCCTAGGGGGTTATTTCTCATTTTCTGTCTCCATCTCTTTCTGGTGAGCACACGTGCCCTATAACAAAAATTACTTAAAAAAAAAAAAATGTGGCATATCCATATAGTGGGATATTACTCAGCATGAGGAGTGTCAGGTACTTACACATGCTAAACCTGAGTAAACCTTGAAAAAATGCCAAGTAACCTAGACACAAAAGGCCGCATATTGTACGATTCCATTTATATGGAATCCCTAAAATATGCATATTCTTAAAGACAAAGCCAGTGAATAGTTACTGGGGAGAATGGGGAGTAGGTGCTTAAATCAGTGGGTTTCCTTCTGGGGTGGTGAAAATATTTTGGGATTAGGTAGTGATGAAGGTTGTACAACACTAAATGTCCTGTTAGTGAATTGTACACTATAAAATCGTACATGTATTTTACTATTAAAATACATAACGCCAAATATGTAGCATAAAATCATAACTTTTTTTTAAAATCATAGAGAAATACTTAAGATTAACTAGTCCTCTGTTCCAACTTCATTTTAAACAAAATTAGTCTTGGTGAAGACCTATATTCTTGGTACTGAGTTAGTGATTGGAAAGGCTTAAAACATTGATTCTGGAACAAGTTTGTGGCAAGCAGTGTTCCAGCTGCGGGAATCCCTTGAGAATAAAAAGGAAATACTTGTGGCTGCCCTAGTCTTCAGGTTACTGAACAACAAAATCTGTAGAAAATAGTATAACTCAGAAGTACAGACAGTCTTTGACTTAAAATGGTTTGACATACTTTACATTACCATTGGATGAAAGATAAGCCTTCAGCAGAAACTACCTCAAACTGTTTTTTTTTCCCTTTAGGCATAATGTAGTGTGATACCCTTGTGGTATAGCAAGGAGCTATAGTTCCCAGTTAGCACATTTAACATAGGCTAGGCTAAGCTATGATACTGGGTCAATTTACCATATTTTCAACTTAGGAAGGGTTTATCAGGACATAACCCCCTTGTAAAGTCAAGATGCAAATGTATAGCTATAGCCTATCTTACCTATACAGCAAATAACATTTCTCTAGCATACCTTCCTTTTTTTTTTTTTTCTTTTTTTGGAGAGATTTTTGCTATGGGTGCGTGCGCTTGCCAGACAGACAGAAAGCAAGAAATCACCCCCCAGGGGGGATGGCCACACCGCAATCCCTTCTCCATTTTCCTCTCAGGATCTTGGGCACTCACGCACACGTGCCCAGCGTGAATTTAAGCCATCAGGTCCGGGACACGAACCATAGTCGACTACGTGGGAGTCCAGCAACATAGCCATTATGCTAACTGCTGGTCCCAATTTTTTTTTTTTTTTTAAATTTCTAGTAACAAAGTTTACGATGTTGAAAGTATGTCACTGGGGGTCCAACAGGTGGCGTAGAGGCTGGGGCACTGGGTCCCCACATGGCTAGCTGCAGTTTGAGTACTGGACCTGGCAGCATGGAGGGGTTATATCAGGGACTAGGGGAGGGGATGTGTGCATGCATGTCCAGAGTCCTAAGAGGAGAAAGATGGAGAGGGGATTATGGCATTGCTGGCCTTCCTGCAGGGGGCGGTCTGGGGAGAGTGATTTCCCACTTTGTTCTTTTTTTTTGAGGTCTTTGCTATAGGGAGTGTGCACTCTCCAGAAAGAGAGACAAAGAGAAAAAAAGCAAGAAATCACCCCCTGGGGAGATAGCTATGGCACAATCCCTTCTCCATTCTCCTCTTGGGATCTTGGGGACACACGCACACGCGCCCGGCATGAGTTTAAGCTGCCGGGTCTGGGAGGCAAACCGCGGTCGACTACATGGGGGTCTAGTGACATAGCCATTACGCTAACAGCTGGTCCCATTATGTACCATTTTTATAGGAAGTACTACCTCCATTCATTTGAGCCTTGCAAACAAACATTAATGGTAAATACTTTATACTAACTTTATTTTCTGAACAAAGGCTGATACAGATGTTACTTTCACACCAAACAAGAATCCCATGTTGATAACAGCTGTCCTATTTAAAAATTCCAACCAGCAAGAATACCCTAGAGCTGTAGAGTGCCAATTCAACTGTAATTTTTATAAAGGCATTTAGGAGTTTCAGCCATGCTTTTTATTTGGTAACGTGTTTCCTTTTATTCCTAAGGCAGAAAATTTTTTTTATTAAATAAATTTATAATTTTTTTATGTTTAGCTTTTCCCTGAAAGACAGAGACAGGCACCCCCAACAAGGTCTTTATGATGCAATCCACCCCAGTTTCAGCTGGCCCAGATCATAGATATGTGTACAGGTACACTGGAATGCACAGGGAAGACCCAGGACAAGAACTCAAGACCTACCTATGTGGGCCCAGCTATGCCACCACTGCATTACCACTGAGACCCTAGAAATGTGATTTGTTTGTTTGTTTGTTTTTAAGTTTTGCTATAGGGTGCATGCATTTGCCAGAGAGGGATACACACACACATAGAGAAGAAAAGTGAGAAATCACCCCCCCGGGGGGGGGGGTTATAGCCACATTGCAGTTCCTTCTCTTTCATTTTCCTCTTGAGATTTTGAGCACACACACACCTGGCATGATTTTCAAGCTGCTGGATCTGGGAGTTGAACTGCATAGTCAGCCATGGGGAAATCCAGCTGGTTTAACCTCCATGCAATTCTGAAAGAGTAGCAATAAATGCTAAGATGTTCAGGGGAATAGAAATAAATGTCCCAGTTAAGTAATCACATGAAAAAGTACTGTTTATTGGATCGTCAGAAAAGTCATGATGTATTTTTTTCATGTTTTTCTATGCAAAAATGTATCATAACTTTTCTGGTGACCTAATACAGCTTAAGGAAAACCTTAAAAGAACTGGTATAAGGAGCATAAGCCAGAAAAGTGAAGGTTTCTTGGCTAGTAAACAGCATGAGGAAAGGTTTATCAGCAAAACATTGGTAAGGGAGAAATAAGGAGTTTCTTGGGCATGGGGAAGAAGTAAGAGGAGTCTTCCAAAAGGTCATGGAAGATGTATATTATGGAAAACCATAGATTTCAAATTTTTGTCCAGCAAAATAAATTTATTTTAATTCCATCTTTCTGTAAACTTGAAGTCCTCTCAGTGTGAAACAAGGTTGCAAACAGGGGCGAGATTATATAGACACAGGTGTAAGAGTATAGGGTTTTTTTCATGTGACCACAGAAACCATGGAAAGGTTAGAATTGTAGGGCCAGCCTGTGATTGGGGTGGGTGGAACCCATGTGGCCAACTGTGAGGTTAGAGTCCTTGACCCAGTGGCTAAAAAACATACCAGGCACATGTGCATG